GTGTCGAGATATCATTATCGATTTTTCCAGCTTGGTCCATACTTTTTCCGGATATAAAATACTGTCTAAGACTTTTGTTAGGTTTACTAACTGCAGATATATCATTAGACTTAGTCATATTTTTTTCGTCATCTCCACCAATAATGGGTTTCGATATAGTCTCCGATTTCAGGTATTCAAGCTCATTCACCTTCGATTTCAAATCACCCTTTATACTTTCTAATTCCGCTATTTTGGATTTGAGAGATAAAATATTAGTTTCTTTTTTCGATGAGTCCTCTTGAATCGAAATTACATCTTTCTGGGCTAAAGACAACTTACCTTCCAATATCTTGATCACAGACTCAAGCGATCTAATTTTCTTGGATTTTATATCATTCTCAGTTTTGGACTTCGCAAGAGAAATAGTTTTGCTAGCATTTTCAAACTGCAGATTTTGATTCTCAGTAACAACCTCTCCTAGTTTTTTACTCTACTTCTTTCTATTCCGATCCCATCCTTTTCTTTCTTGATCAAAATTCTCCTCTTGCTTTAATCGATCAGCTCTTAATGATTCATTGCAAGCATTTAGATTGGATATAATTTTTGTAGCATAACGCAATTCTTCATTAATACCCATAACAATAGTTAAAAATAAATTGTAAATTATATTCGAATAAAATAAACAAAGCTAAATATATATGTATGTTGGACTTAATATATCATATAGGATAAATGTAAAAAATGGAATACATATATATACTAGATTAGACGTTTGTATTAACTGAATATCAGACTTATATATTTGATATATTACATTTTTTCGATTTATTTTATATTTTTCATTGGATATAAATATATTATATTTTTAAATCAACAAAAAGAATAAGGTATTTATCACTATGGTTAGAATACGTATGAAATGTGATGCACCTATTTTTACACCAGAAGATTATTCATATACAGTATTATGCAGTGTCGTGATATAAAACCAAGATATAAAATTTTAAATGAGTTGACCGATAAGTATAAAACATCAACAAAATGTATTTATCAGATTTGGAGGGGAGTAGAAGCTAATAGAGTTTTATGGGATCAGCCTATACCATACTCATATGATGATGTCTCTAATTTTACGTCCCCAACATATCAAAACACCAAATGTCTTGAGTCGAAGAGTCGTGACTTATTGTGGAACAATGACACTTACGTGCCTGCCACTGACACTAGCTCCGATAATAAATCAAATTCCGCTATGAATGTCACCCATATAGAGTTCAAACCTTTAGACTCAAAGAGACATAATTCAGAGGAGAGACAGGGTCTCGAGGAAGCTAAGCTTCAAGTCCTTGATTCATCTCAGATTCATCGCCTGGTAGATGGCTCTGTCATAGATAACTCATCAGTAAAGTCAACACAACCAAGTAAGCGAACAAAAACAAAGAGATCCAGATCTGTACGGATATTAGATCCACTCATCATTTCTGAGGACTCAACAGAAAAAATAGATACAGATGAACTAGCCCGTCTTAAATGTGCGGTAAAAGAAGGGGAGGAAAATTTATCATATTCAGGATATAGTATTGATAAATCATAAATGATGAACTTTATTCATCCTACCTAATCTTTATTTTCTTTACTAGACTAGATGATCTTATATGACAAACAAGGTCGTTAAGACCAGTAATAACTTTAGTTGCTTTATGCATTTCTTTTTCATATATCTCACAATTTACGCATTTTTTTTTAAAGTTGAGTTGTCAGAATCTGTGCTAAACCCCGCAGGAGCATGCCATTCTTCTAATGGTACATTGTTATCCTTATCACTATCCGTTTCTTGTGAGATTTGATCGGATACCAATGACTTATCACCCTGAGATGCGGTAGCGCAATTTACTTCGAGCTTATTCTTGACTTTGTGCATGTTTATCGGAATAAAATACTCTTTACCGTTACATACGAGTTTTAATTCTCGTTTCGATGCAAGCAAATCATAATCATATTTATCTAGAAGAGTATTTGGCAAAATAAGCATCGGCTTATGATGTTTAACAACAGCAAAATCAGAATATATAGTACAGCCTGAGGTGAAAGTTACTGGAACGTTACGGACAATTCCAATGGATTCAGTAGGTGATGTAGCAATTCCACTAAGATCGTGTTTTTCTTTTGTATCGATTATAAGTTTTAAACGTTTAACAATATCCTCTGTTATAATTGGAAAATTTGCACCAGGATCTACCGTGGCCGCCGGGATTATTAATCGTTTGATCTTGCATTTTGTAGTTACAACATCTGTAGCCGGATCTTTTCTCTGAACAAAATCAATTTCCATAGGATCATTCAATATCTCTTCGTCTTCTGAATCAGGTATTGCTGGGATTGGTTCTCGGTGATTTATAAAATCCGGAGTAGTTAAATATTTGTCTTCAGATTTAAGTTTCTCTAACTGATGCGGGAGTAAGACCTTTTCAAGCATATCTAACAAAATTCGACGAATATTCTGCTCAAGGGTAGACACTTTATTTTGAGACTTACTAGAGGTAGCAATACCTTTCTGTTTAGTCTTATGAGATTTAGGTATTTTCTTAGAGGACGATCTACCCTTCCGCTTTACTTGTTTTTTTTTGTTTTAGAGACATGTATGTTAATACTATGATCAGACTCAGATTCAGAAGACGAATTCTCAGCATCGGACCCTGTCTCAGAATCAGATCCAGAATCGCTACTGGAAGAATTATTAGTATCAGAATTGGAATCTATAGAAACTTTATTGATATTACCTTTCTTCTTGGACCCGCTCTTAGATTTTCTTTTCCGAGTACACTTGCGAGAATTATGTCCGGTCCTATTGCAATTTGAGCATCTGTGCTGGGATGTTTTCTTAATCTCCTTCTTGACCCGTCTAGATATAGCCTTATTTATCGACAACTTACTCATACGATTAGCCAGTTCTTCATCCGAATCGACTTCGACATTTTTTGATGCATTCCCTCCATTTTTCTTAGGCAAGAAGGAAGAAAATTTATCAACTACTCCTTTAGTAATTGTATCTATTAATGATTGTAATGTAGATGGGCCCGCTAAAGCACTAAGACGATCTGTCGCTTCATCCATTCGAAGCCATTCTGGGTCATTCAAGCGTAAATTTGGATCTCTATAAATTTTACCTGACTCCATTTGACTGGGTCGTACCAACTGCCTATTTTGCAATTGAGGAGCTGTCTGGGAAGAAACAGGTTGAGATTGTGTAGATGGCATCATAGATTTTATCAAGTTTCTGACTTCAGTTTCAGACAAACCTGTATTGCTACTTTTTTCATAGGGAGTAGGCACTTGACCTCCAGAAGGCGGGAATGGAAAGTTGCCTTGTAGTAGTGAAAATTTTTCTGCTTCAACTAATGCTTTTGTAATATTATCTCTAGTGTCATGGTATTTAGCCATCATGCGGACATTATATTGATTCATAGGATTTAATCCCCGAATATACTGCTCTCTCATTTTTGATTCTGGTAATCCAGCAAGTTTTCCGAGTTTTGATATCTTGGCATTATACTCGAGTATTGACATACCTCCTTGCGTAATCTGACCAAAGAAAAGCAAATTTTTTTGTGCTTCAACCGTAGGATAAAGATATTCAAGGCAGTATAAAAATTGTCCAAGAGTTATTTCGGGTGCAACAATTGAATTACCTGCACCAGCATTCGCATAATTGGCTGGAGATGGAGTTCCTACAGGTGCGGGATGTCCTCCAGCTATACTCCAATCTTCATCCCATGTACCCACTGGAATAATATTAGCACCGGTTATTGTATTATCACCCCCAGCATTATTTCTTACAACCAAGGCTTCTCCAAGAAACTGATTTGCATTAATACCTGTTAAAGCGCCATTATTTAACGCTCGAATTGCATTTAAGTCGTTCACACCAGTACCATCAAGAATATTATCACATTGCCAGTTTCTACTTTTGATCTCGTTTTCATACCAGGTTTTTGCTTCACCAACCATACATGATATACCTAAATTATATGCTTCTGCTCTACCAGCAACTCCTCCTGCACCAGCTATAACATTTATTCGAGATGCAATTACAAATCTCTTGAATTCTAAAATCCAATCTGATGGATCTTCTCCAGCTTTTCCAGTAAAAAGAGGTGGCCTATTTCCTATCATGTTCGATATTTGTATTTGAGGTGGATTTATAGGTGGATTATTCTGTAGTAATAAAATTTGGGCTTGTAAATTTAAAATTAATTGCTGTGAATTGCGCTCTCTATTTTTCCACTTGATATGACTTGCTTTACGATCCTTGAATTTATTGTAATATCTATCAAAGTGCCAATCTCGATTATATTCTAATAATCCTTTATCGGCCTGACATCTTCACAATTATTGTTCTAATTGATAGTTTTTTAATCTATACAGAACTTCAAAAACATGCCTAAGTTTAGATTGTTCTTCTAATGCCAAGGTAATATTATACCACAAATGCCCTCGCATATCATACCTTTGTTGTAAACCCCTATTATTGGTATGGCATTGCTGTAATAATAATTGGATAGCGAACTTTTCTCGAATTAATTCACCAACACATCTATTTTTATCACAATATGAGAACCACCAATGATGACGTTCTCCCTGTTCATTATTATAAGCTGTAGTCATCAAAGTAAGATCATTCTGATAATTGTTACGCTCTTGAGTAAGTCGGCTAACTTGATTTCGTAAGTTATGTCGCTCTTGGATAATTTGATTAACTTGGTTCTGTAAGTTATCTCGTTCTTGGGTAATCTGATTGACTTGATCCTGAAAATTATTTTGGGTAAGCTGGTTAACTTGATTTTGAAAAATGATATTCCGTTGTCTAGAGAAATTGACATCCTGTTGTAACAGGACTATCTGATTATCTCTGTCGTCTCAGTTAAGCGGAAAATCCATCTCTATAGGTCTCTAACTTAATACTAGGACAAGGGTGGTTCAGTCTGTAAAAAAAAAAGCTTATTTTGATTAGTTCCGTAAATCGAATCGTACCACGTAAAACATTGCTTTGCATGATCTTTTTAATGTATTTTTATATATTGCATAGGACGCAGTTTCAAACTCAAGGGTTATGTACAAGTGATAAAATCTATTACATCAAAAAAGAATGGAAAGACACTCCTCTTTGTTCGTCAGATTGCGTGCCATCGAAAGGAGTTAAAGTTCGGGAAAAGGTTTCCACGAGAGGATTATTAATTGAAACCTTAATTCGAGAGGCAACGCTTACTAGGGATAACCCAAAGTCATAACGAAATATCTTATATCCCGCCTAAATTTCTTAAACTGCTCGATAGGGAGATAATCAAGATAGATCGTGATGACGAAGAACCTCGAGTCAATTTTTTGAATAATACCCATTTTTACTGCTCCCTATCACGTGATTTCACTGACCGAGTTGGTAAAGAAAATCATGATCTGATCTTCACAAAATTGTTACTCAAATATGATCCTGCAAAAAATCATTTGTTTTTATGTAAATTCTCTCCTTTGTTTCTTGTAATTTTCCTTGCGCCTTTTATTATTTTTATATCTTGTGGTATACTCGCTCCCCTTTAGTTGTGGTATCAAGTATTCCTGCGTATAACATCTGAGTACAAAAGTCGTTTTTCCCGAATGCCTTCCTATCTCCCACAATTAATCATTCCCAATTGTGATCATAACCTCTTCGAAGAAATCGCATTAGCAAACCCTAACTCTTTCTATCGAATGAATCTTATCCAAGGTCAACTTGAAATAATACCTCCACAACCAGTTCACAATGAAACCGGTATATAATTCGCTAAAGCCACTATTTGATAGTTTTATCGAGATGAAAATGTGTACTAAAACCATAGATTAAAAAATTGTTATTTAGATCAAAGAGAGTCACTTATCATTTATCAAATTGTCGGATGGTGCCTTGCTAACGCCAATTTGGTTGGACACCATGGTGGTTCCCAGATATATTATGCAGACATCATTGACATTTCTTTTCTCATGTTGCCAACATCACGTCTTTTTACCTATTCTAGGGAGCCTATACATTGAATAATGGTGATATTCTGGGTCCTGAGGCTTCTGTTGTCCTTAGTTCCAGGTTTCTGAGCGTTATCTATTGTAAAGATAATTTGCATATTTGCGCCATTTTTTAACTTCTATCTTATTATTGCAGATGGAATGCTCTATCAACTAATGATAGACGACGAGCATTTCCACCAGTTGCACCGAATTTTATTGTGGAATTACGTCCAATGAGTAATTCACCTCAGTATGTTCATAGGAAAATGTTACTATGGATTGGTGCGGGAGTTGAGGGAAGTAGACCAATGATGATCGCTAGTTATTTATTGATATTAATTACGAACTACGTATTATGCTTATCTAGGAAGGAGTATTAATTGATCCAATTGCAAATCCACCGACAGTGAGGGTCTATAGCTATAATTCCAACACTAATAGTGTCATTTGGCAAGAGTTTGTGAATCCTCAAACAGTTACTTCACAAGTTCTTACAGGATTTGTAATGAATATGCAAGATATCCTTTGATTATAGGCAACTTTCTGAATATTTTTACGGTAATTATTAGTATTTAGTATTTAATGGTCGAATGCTTGGAGAACCAATGAGATTTCATCCAATGTGCACAATAGAATGAAATGAAAAAAGCTTTTTTGTATAAAGCCAACGGACGTAATTTTTTTAAAAATTTATTAATAAAAAGACCCTTTGGTCAAGCTTTACTCGTGAATCATCATCATTTTGCGTTAATTGTGTGAATCTGTTAATAATTTCATATGTTCGGGTTTAGCAGGCGAAAAATGAAAGATGTAGTAGTGATCAAGGTCTCCCCGCCGAGGCGGTTATTGTTGCAATTGTTATCTGTTTATGGTTGCTCTGTTGTTTTGTTACATGTCTTTGGGAGAATTGAAGATTATTTCCTTCAAAAACTGTGCTTGTGTTAATTCGTTGATCTGTTAATCGGATTTACCCTTTCAGCCAGGGTAGGATTTTCATTACTAATCGTTGTGGGAGTTAAATATAAGGTTTAGACTCTTTAATCTTTATTGTTACTATTTCGCAATTACGCGTTAATGACGATTTTTTGGATTTTTTTTTTTTTTACAGAGTTGATAACTCGAAACCATTACACCCGCAAAAATTTAGGATTCGATTCTTGGACCGCGGGTGTTGCTAAGATTGGCCGGTTGATCCTTTTATCCGCTTCGTGCAAGTGAAAAAAAAAAAAAAATAATCTAATAAATCCGCCAAAATTTCAGGTATTACGCAGATTATATGTTATGCCAGATCCTATCACATTACTAATCGGATGGAGTAAAAGCATATATATGAACATATCTCAATGATTATTATCTACATACTCCCAATATTATCCACCTGCACGAGTCTTATACCCTTTGCAAACTTTTCCAATATATGATCCATCAATTCCAGTTATACGTTGTGCTTCAGATGCGGATGAAAATTCTTGAGTAGAGCCATCATCGAAAATCTGTTTGATAGCACGTCGACGACAGTTGCCCCAAAGGCCTAGGTGTACAGCGTGTTGAGAGTTTCCTTTCGGGGTACACCATTCGAGATTGGATGCATTATTGTTAGTAGAGTCACCGTCAATGTGATTTACGTATTCTTTGCCTTCTTCTTTTAGACAAAATGCTAATGCTACCAACCGATGAATATAATATTTTTCAACTCGGAGATATCGCGAGTCCAATGATCCCCGAGAGATTAAACCATTGCGCAACTGAACTCTTCCAAGAGATGAAACTTTAAATTTTCGTGAATCAACCTCTATTTCTTTCCATTCTTCATTAGGATCTTGTTCTATATAATCCTCATAATACATCCAACGCCAACCACCAGCAATATTTCGCTTTCTACTACAACACGCCGAAATATGAGGTCTTGAAATTTTAAGTGTATAACCTGCAAGAGCGATGGAATCCCAAATTTGAATGACATTTCCATCCAAAGTTTTCTGAACAATTTTCATGGACCTGCCACGACCACGGTTTGGAAATACCTTACGTTCAGCATTCTCTTTAGGAGTTACCCATTCCAAATTATCTACTCGATTATCATATTTGATGCCATTAATGTGGTTAACATAAGGCTTATTTTCCGGATTAGGAATGAAGGCTCGCGCGACTAAAATATGAACCTTGGTATGTGACAAATATTATTAATAATTATTTTTATTGGCACATATCCATTCCTTTTGTAAGCATTTGGCGTTAAAATTATACCTTTTTTGTTCTTGATGCGTCCAAGATTAGAAACTAGTAAGTTCGCTACAGGCAACCAATCTTCCATTATGATGTTTATTGTAAACATATTTTTTTAATTAGCAAGGTCAATATCTTCCCTATGATCACGGCTAACTTTAATACTATTAGCGATTATCACTAGGACGAACATGACGAACCAAATTCTTTGTGTTGTCTGGTGGCATTGGGTGATTTTGAGGGGGGTGAACTATACTTCCCCAACTCCAGATTATCGTTCCACTTCATCCAGGACAGGTCGTCGCATTTTCTTCAAGACTTCTTTTACATGGCAATTTCCCTGTTACGAGAGGGATCGGCATAGTATCGTTTACTTCGTCCATAGTACCTTCTTCCATCATCTGCGCGATTTTTCGTCGATATACGAAGATTTAGAGGCCGGTATTGAAAGAGATGCACGTGGGACGCTTGTTTCTATGATTCCTCAGCAAGATCTCGCTGACGCACGAGATCTGAATAACCGAATCACAATCTCTCAACCGAAAAAAAGTCAAACCGCGATACCAAAAAGATCTTGTGATAAGAGGCGAGGAAATTTTGGTAATTATTTAACATGGACTAGTACGTTCGTGTTAATCTTTTCATTGTATTATATATATTGTCAAAAATCGCTAATTATAATCGCTACTTCTTTACAGATTTATCGCGTGCCAGACGTGGATTGAAAGCAGAGGATCCACTACCCGATGGGGTATAATTCGATACTTATATAGCGAAAATAATTATATAGATTTAGCGGTTTTAAAATGTAAATATATCATTGATCATCACGGGTTAATAAAGATTTTCGTGTAGGCACTTCGTGCTAGAGATGTGATCCGTTTAAATCCGTATTGTTTTGATCGTCATTCGTTCAAAAATATCAATCCGTATATAAATTCCT